TGCGGGGCTTGATGAATGCAAAGCTGGGGTGAAAATTGCTGGAAGAAACATTAACAACCTCAGATATGCAGATGACACCACTCTGATGGCCGAAAGCGCGGAGGAGCTGAGGAGCCTTCTAATCAAGGTGAAAGAAGAAAGCGCAAAAGCCGGGTTGCAGCTAAACGTCAAAAAAACCAAGATTATGGCAACAAGAATGATTGACAACTGGGAAATAGAGGGAGAAACCGTGGAGGCCGTGACAGGGTTTGTATTTCTGGGTGCAAAGATGAGTGCAGATGCAGACTGTGGCCAGGAAATCAGAAGACGCTTCCTTCTTGGGAGGAGAGCAATGTCCAGTCTCGATAAAATAGTGAAGAGTAGAGACATCAGACTGGCAACAAAGATCCGCCTAGTCAAAGCCATGGTATTCCCTGTTGTCACCTACGGATGTGAGAGCTGGACCATAGGAAGGCTGAGCGAAGGAAGATAGATGCTTTTGAACTGTGGTGTTGGAGGAAAGTTCTGAGAGTGCCTTGGACTCAAGAGAGAATCCAACCAGTCCATACTCCGGAAATAAAGCCCGAATGCTCACTGGAGGGAAGGATGAAGTAGGCCAAGATGAAGTCTTTGGCCACATCATGAGAAGAACAGGAAAGCTTAGAGAAGACAATGATGCTGGGAAAATGGAAGGCAAAAGGAAGAGGTAGCCGACCAAGGGCAAGATGGATGGATGGCATCCTTGAAGTGACTGGACTGACCTTGAGGGAGCTGGGGGTGGTAATGGCCGACAGGGAGCTCTGGCGTGGGCTGGTCCATGAGGTCACGAAGAGTCGGAGACGACTGAACGAATGAACAACAACAATATATATATATTCACAAGAATTTACTCTTGGTTTCAGCCAAAATAATTAAATTAAAATGACTTAATTGTGGCTTAATATGAGGTAATAATGATCCATTTCTGTCATGGCGAAGTCAATCAGCGGCCATTTTGTCTTCCTCACTCAACCATCTTGATGTCAAACTATGTGAAGGGAACTGGGCCATTTATGAAGTGGTCATTAATTACAAGAATTTGCTCTTGGTTTCAGCCAAAATAATTAAATGAAAATGACTCAATTGTGGCTTGATATGAGGTAATAATGATCCGTTTCGGTCATGGCGAAGTCAACCAGCAACCATTTTGTCTTCCACATTCAGCCATCTTGAAGTCAACCTGTGTGAAGGGAACTGGATAATTTATGAAGTGGTCATTAATCACAAAAATTTGCTCTTGGTTTCAGCCAAAATAATTAATGAAAATGACTTAATTGTGGCTTGATATGAGGCACTCCATGCAGGCATGCCGGTCACGTGACCTTGGAGGTGTCTATGGACAACGCCGGCTCTTCAGCTTAGAAATAGAGATGAGCACCAACCCCCAGAGTCAGACATGACTGGACTTAATGTCAGGGGACAACTTTTACCTTTACTATGATGTTATAATGAGCCGCCTCTGTCATGGCGCAGTTAATCGGTGGCCATTTTGTCTTCCTCAGTCAGCCAACTTGATGTCAAACTGCCTGAAAGGAACTGGGCCGTTTATGAAATGATCATAACTAATATATATGTTTTAAAATCACAAGAATTTGCTCTTGGATTCAGCCAAAATAATGACAGAAAATGTCTTCATAGTGACTTAATATGAGGTAATAGTGACTTAATATGAGGTAATGGTGGCCATTTTGTCTCCTTCTGTCGGCCATCTTGATTTCACAATTCCTGAGGGGAACTGGATAGTTTGTGAAATGGCCCAAAACTAATGTTTTTAAAAGAATCAATCCTCCCACTGCCTCTTGGTTTCACCCAAAATAAAGATTCTAGACATGATGATTTATTAGTCGCTAAATGTGAGGTAATAATGAGCCGTCTTTGACATGGAACAGCCAACCAGCGGCCATTTTGTCTCCCTCAGTCAGCCATCTTGATGTCAAACAGCCTGAGGGAATTTGAACCATTTAAGAAAGGCCATAGCTGGCATTTTTTAGTATCAAACGAAGCACAACTTCGGTCTTTTCCACAATTCTGTTGTCTTTTAATTATTGCAGGGTAATAATGAGCCGTCTTTGACATGGAACAGCCAACTGGCGGCCATTTTGTCTCCCTCAGTCAGCCATCTTGATGTCAAACCGTCTGAGGAAATTTGAACCATTTACGAAAGGCCATAGCTGGTATTTTTTAGTATCAAACGAAGCACAACTTCGCTCTTTCCCACAATTCTGCTTCTTGTTGTCTTTTAATTATTTGAGGGCCTTTTAAGATGGCTTCTTTCCATGTTGAGCCCTCGCCAAATTCTTGTGTTCCAAAATGAAAGTCAATTAGGATGAACTAAATGTTGATGTTCAGCCTGAACACTCTGAAAGAAAACAGACGTGAGAATGGATGTATCTGCACTGCACAGATGTACCAGTTTCGTGCCACCTTCAACTGTCATGACCCCACATTTCTGTGGAATCCTGGGAATTATAGTTTTATGAAGAAGTTGGTGTTTCTGGTGCTGGAGTTCCAGATATACAAATCCCATAGGTTAACGTGGCATAAAACTGAGGTAAATGTGCAGTGCAGATGTCCTCTCATGAGAAATAGGCACTTTGATTCTAATTGTAAATAAATTATGTGTGTTTTTAAATAAATAAATAAACATAAGAAGGAAGTGGGTACCAAAACACCCTATTTTTTGCTTCTATTAAATTTGGGTTCTATTAAATTTAGAATTCCAATTCAGCCCAGGCGGGACTCGAACCCGCAACTCTAAAGGAAGAAGCCCCGCCCCCTTTTGGCGGATAATAAGGGAAAGTGAAGCAAGGAGAGGCGGGCTGGCGTCTTTGATTGGTCCATTCAATAAAGTAGGCGGGATCATAACAGAGGAATCCTGGCCCCGCCCCCAGTCCTCAGGGGAGGCCATTGGCTCGGAAAGGCAGGATTGGTTGGTCGCCCTTCTGCGCCTGCGCCTTTAAGAGCGGGGTGGGGGTAAAAAAAAACCTCAACTATGATTGGCATGTTGGAAGAAGGCGTTCCTATTGGTTGTTAGCGGGGGAGAGAGAGGGGGCGGGAGGAGACACAAGGGAGTGGGAGGAGCCTAAATAAGGGCAAGCCCCGCCTCTTTGGCGGAATCAGTGCCTCTCGTTGGCTCATATTTCCTATGATTGACATGTTGGAGGACGGCGTCCCTATTGGTTGTATGCATGCGTGAAGAGAAACAAGGGAGTGGGAGGAGCTGAAATAAGCGTAAACCCCGCCTCTTTGGCGGAATGAGCGCCTCTCATTGGCTCATATTTCCTATGATTGACATGTTGGAGGACGGCGTCCCTATTGGTTGTATGCGTGCGTGAGGAGAAACAAGGGAGTGGGAGGAGCTGAAACAAGGCTAAGCCCCGCCTCCTTGGCAGAATCAGTGCCTCTCATTGGCTCACATTTGCTAGAGAGAACTGTGATTGACATGTTTGGGGCGGGCATTAGCGAGGAAGAAAAAGGAGGCGTGAGGAGAAACAAGGGAGTGGGAGGAGCCTAAATAAGGGCAAGCCCCGCCTCTTTGGCGGAATCAGTGCCTCTCATTGGCTCACATCCTCTAGGGAGAACTGTGATTGGCATGTTGGGGGAAGGCATCTCTATTGGTTGTTAGCGGGAGAGAAAGAGGGGGTGTGAGTGAACTATGATTGACATGTTAGAGGACGGCGTTCCTATTGGTTGTATGGGTAAGTGAGGAGAAACAAGGGAGTGGGAGGAGCCTAAATAAGGGCAAGCCCCGCCTCTTTGCTGGAATGAGCGCCTCTCATTGGCTCACATTTCCTATGATTGATATGTTGGAGAACGGCGTCCCTATTGGTTGTATGGGTAAGTGAGGAGAAACAAGGGAGTGGGAGGAGCTGAAACAAGGCTAAGCCCCGCCTCCTTGGCGGAATGAGCGCCTCTCATTGGCTCACATTTCCTATGATTGACATGTTGGAGGACGGCGCCCTATTGGTTGTATGAGTAAGTGAGGAGAAACAAGGGAGTGGGAGGAGCTGAAATAAGGCTAAGCCCCGCCTCCCTGGCGGAATGAGCGCCTGAGGAGAAACAAGGGAGTGGGAGGAGCTGAAATAAGCGTAAACCCCGCCTCCTTGGCGGAATGAGCGCCTCTCATTGGCTCATATTTCCTATGATTGACATGTTGGAGAACGGCGTCCCTATTGGTTGTATGCGTTCGTGAGGAGAAACAAGGGAGTGGGAGGAGCTGAAACAAGGCTAAGCCCCGCCTCTGTGACGGAATGAGCGCCTCTCATTGGCTCATATTTCCTATGATTGACATGTTGGAGGACCGCGTCCCTATTGGTTGTATGGGTAAGTGAGGAGAAACAAGGGAGTGGGAGGAGCTGAAATAAGGCTAAGCCCCGCCTCCTTGGCGGAATGAGCGCCTGAGGAGAAACAAGGGAGTGGGAGGAGCTGAAATAAGGCTAAGCCCCGCCTCCTTGGCGGAATCAGTGCCTCTCATTGGCTCACATTTCCTAGAGAGAACTATGATTGACATGGTGGAGGACGGCGTCCCTATTGGTTGTATGCATGCGTGAGGAGAAACAAGGGAGTGGGAGGAGCTGAAATAAGGCTAAGCCCCGCCTCCTTGGCGGAATGAGCGCCTCTCATTGGCTCATATTCCTATGATTGACATGTTGGAGGACGGCGTCCCTATTGGTTTGTATGGGTGCGTGAGGAGAAACAAGGGAGTGGGAGGAGCTGAAATAAGGCTAAGCCCCGCCTCCTTGGCGGAATGAGCGCCTCTCATTGGCTCACATTTCCTATGATTGACATGTTGGAGGACGCCGTCCCTATTGGTTGTATGCGTGCGTGAGGAGAAACAAGGGAGTGGGAGGAGCTGAAACAAGGCTAAGCCCCGCCTCCTTGGCGGAATTACCGCCTCTCATTGGCTAGAGAGTGGGCGGGGCCTAATGGAGTAGGCGTGGCTTGAAGGGGGAAAAAGAAGGCAAGCGTCTTCCGTCTCGACGCATGCGCGGACGGAGGGGCGGGGCCATGCATGCGCATTCTGAAGCTGGCTCTGTGAGGGGAGGACGGACTCTCCGGCTGGCGGCGGAGGCGAGGGAAGGGAGGCGGCAGGCCAGAGTGGGGGAGGCTCCGGCCTGAAGGCACCCGTCACGGTGGCGGACCCGGGGGAGGAAGCCGGGCCTCGCCCTCCGGCCCCTATCCCCCCGCCTTCCCCGTTGGCGGCCTCTTCCTCCCCGGCGTCGCCTTCGGGCCTCATGGAGGGCCTCTCCGTGGAAGTGCGCGGCTCCAACGGGGCTTTCTATAAGGTGAGTAGGCCGCAGAGCGTTGCCAAGGAGACGGGGCATGGGCGGGGCCTTCGCGGTTGCCATGGAGATGCGGCCTAGCCTCCCAACTCCCTCCAACTCCCAGGAGGCCTAGGCCCCTCGAGGATTCTGGGAGTTGGAGGCCAGAGCTTTGGGTGGAAAGGTCACAAACATACCTCTGAGGAGTTCAAAGGAGGGAGGGAGGCTTCTTGCGGAAGAAAGGGCTTAATAGGCCGCAAACTGAATGGGAATTAAGCTATAGATTGCATCAAGAGGAGGCATGGGCAAATTTGGACCCTCCTTCCACGTGTTTTGGGACTTCAACTCCCACAATTCCTGGCCTCAAACCCTTTCCTTTTCCCCCTGGCCTCTCTCCAGGTGTTTTGGGACTTCAACTCCCACCATTCCTGGCCTCAAACCCTTTCCTTTTCCCCCTGGCCTCTCTCCAGGTGTTTTGGGACTTCAACTCCCACCATTCCTGGCCTCAGGCCCTTTCCTTTCCCCCCTGGCCTCCCTCCAGGTGTTTTGGGACTTCAACTCCCACAATTCCTGGCCTCAGGCCCTTTCCTTTTCCCCCTGGCCTCCCTCCAGGTGTTTTGGGACTTCAACTCCCACAATTCCTGGCCTCAGGCCCTTTCCTTTTCCCCCTGGCCTCCCTCCAGGTGTTTTGGGACTTCAACCCCCACAATTCCTGGCCTCAGGCCCTTTCCTTTTCCCCCTGGCCTCCCTCCAGGTGTTTTGGGACTTCAACTCCCACAATTCCTGGCCTCAGGCCCTTTCCTTTTCCCCCTGGCCTCCCTCCAGGTGTTTTGGGACTTCAACCCCCACAATTCCTGGCCTCAGGCCCTTTCCTTTTCCCCCTGGCCTCCCTCCAGGTGTTTTGGGACTTCAACCCCCACAATTCCTGGCCTCAGGCCCTTTCCTTTCTCCCCTGGCCTCCCTCCAGGTGTTTTGGGACTTCAACTCCCACCATTCCTGGCTTAAGCGGCTGAGGGGGAAAAGGAAGGGGCCTGAGGCCAGGAATTGTGGGAGTTGAAGTCCCAAAACACCTGGAGGGAGGCCCAAAGTTTGCCCATGCTTGATTTAGAGGAATCAAGAGAATAAGACCTAGTAGTCCCACTCTGTTTGGAATAACAATAGCAAAACAATCAAGGAGATGGACTCTTAATCTGGAAAGTGTCCAGATGAAGCAGACATGGGCAAACTTGGGCCCTCCCTCTGGTTGTTTTGGACTTCCACAATTCCTAACGGCCGGAATTGTGGGAGTTGAAGTCCAAAACACCCAGAGGGCCTTTTCCACTTCAGTTGTAGGCAAAGAGAGCATGTGAATCCAGAGAATGAGAAGAAACTAGCTGTAGGAGGTCATAGAATCCTAGAGTTGGAAGCAACCCTAAAGGGTCATCCAGTCCAACTTATTGCTTCTAGGAAAGTGGACACAGTCAAAGCCCTCCCAGCAGAGGACCACTCAAGTTCTACTTAGAAATAATAATAATAAACTTTATTTATAACCAGCCACCATAATAATAATAAAACAGCAGACTGCCATTCAAGTTCTACTTAGAAATAATAATAATAATAATAATAATAATAATAATAATAATCTTTATTTATAACCCACTACCATCTCCCCAAGGGGACTCGGAGCAGCTTACATGAGGCCAAGCCCGACAACACATCGATAAAACAAAAAAACAATACAATTAATGTAACTCACATATAAATAGTAACACGCAAGGATTTAAAAATCTATGGCTGGACCAAATGTAATAGAATAAAATTTAAAAAGTAAACGCTGGGCATGAACATGATATCAAACAGAGGTAGGATGTATCTGTTAGGAGGGTTTTAAAAGAAATGAAGGGAGAGCAACCCAACGAGTAGTTAAAGTGCTTCTGAGGACATTTTGCTGGGGATTATTTCCTTATTCAGGGAAGGCACACTGGAAAGGGGACTTGGGGCGGCTAACATGAGGCCAAGCCCAAAAATAGTTCCAACAGACCTCACTACCTCTGAGGATGCTTGCCATAGATGCAGGCGAAGCATCAGGAGAGAATGCCTCTAGAACAGGGGTCCTCAAACTAAGGCCCGGGGGCCGGATGTGGCCCTCCAAAGTCATTTACCCGGCCCTCGTTCAGGGTCAACGTAAGTCTGAAATGACTTGAAAGCACATAACAATAACAACAATCCTCTCATCAGCCAAAAGTAGGCCCACACTTCCCATTGAAATACTAATAATTTTATTTTTGTTGAAATTGTTCTTCATTTTAATTATTGTATTGTTTTAAGTGTTTTTTGCACTACAAATAAGACTTGTGCAGTGTTCATAGAAATTCATTCATGTTTTTTTCCAATTATAATCCGGCGCTCCAACAGTTTGAGGGACTGTGACCTGGCCCTCTGTTTAAAAAGTTTGAGGACTCTTGCTCTAGAACATGGCCATATAGCCCGAAAAAACCTACAACAACCCAGTGATTCCGGCCATGAAAGCTTTCGACAATACATTAATACAACATAATTTGACACAATATAGCAAAAGTACATCCTAACAAAATATATAAAATAACAAATAAAATAAACAATATAAAATAGCATATTAAAATGAAACACAAAGGGCTGGCCAGATGTATGAGATGAAATGTTAAAAAGTTACAACCCTGAGTAAGATAGGAATAAAAAGTATATTTGTGAGAGAGGAGCCCAAGAAGGAGAAGCAGTGGGATTTGGCCTTTATAAGGGACAGGGGAAGCTGCTTTATCATGAGGACAATTATAGATGGAAACAAATGAGTTGAGTGGTCACTCTCCTAAGAAATATCCAGAGAAGGAGACTTCATCAGCCCCCCGGGTAGCAGCTTATTTCAAACAGGTCTTACAGTCCGGAAGTTCTCTCTAATGTATAGATGGAATCCCTTTTCCTAACTGGAATGAACTGATGAATTGCCCCTCTAAGGGTGAGGAAATCACTGAGACACTTTTTAAAGGACAGGGTTAATATGAGAATATTAATGACAGCGCTCCATGCAGTCATGCTGACCTCATGACTTTGGAGGTGTCTATGGACAATGCCGACTCTTCAGCTTAGAGATGAGCACCAACCCCCAGAATCAGACACAACTAGACTTAATGTCAGGGGAAACCTTTACTTCTAATATCGGAAACTTCGAGTAGTGGGGTTTCCCATATTAACTCAAATTCTTATGGGATTGGGTGTATTCGAGGTGGGATGGCAAGGAAGGGAATGGCAGTTGAAACATGGGAGGCTGTGTTGCGCTGCTGAGTCAGATCCTTGATGGTCCATCAGGTCTACTGACTGGCAGCTGCAGCTTTTCAGGGATTGTTTCCTAGCAGATTCCTAGGATTCTCTCCTGCCTCCCTTTGCAGTCCTTTCCAGGCCCAACCCTCTCTTGCTTTGCACCCAAAACGAGACAGGAACAGGTGTGTCCGGGGTGGTATGCTGCTATTCCTGGAAAGAAACAGAGAACTGGGGGAGCAGCCAGTGGAATCCACAGAAGAAATTGGAGGCTGGCTGCATGTAACCCTGAATGGGGCCTGAGCATAAGTAGAAACATTAGTCAAGGCTTTTGACCAGTAAAGCAATCATCTTTTAAGCATCCTGAGAGATGTCTAGATTTTCTCCTGTGATAGTCCTAGGACCACAAATGCGAGCTGATGGGAGTGCTCGTGGAAGTTTGACATGACTGCCAATAGAGATCAGATCATTTTTATTTTTGTGATGTTGTCAATATGTTGAATTCTGCTCTGTCTTTTTATAACTTGGTTGTCACTTAACGCTAAGCCCTTCCTCCCTCAGGACTGAAGGTTTAAGAGTAGCTGGATTGGGGTCAGTGGGGCAGTGACTGGTATGCTTTCCAAAGGGGGTTAGTTGTGCCAGTGTCTGCAGGATAAGGTCCTCAGAGTCCACAAGCCGCAATAGAATCATAGAATCAAAGAGTTGGAAGAGACCTCATGGGCCATCCAGTCCAACCCCATTCTGCCAAGAAACAGGAATGTTGCATTCAAAGCACCCTTGACAGATGGCCATCCAGCCTCTGTTTTAAAAGCTTCCAAAGATGGAGCCTCCACCACACTCCAGGGCAGAGAGTTCCATTACTGAACGGCTCTCACAGACAGGAAGTTCTTTCTCATGTTCAGATGGAATCTCCTTTCTTGTAGTTGGAAGCCATGGCTCCATTTCATCCAGGGAAGCAGAAAACAAGCTTGCACCCTCCTCCCTATGACTTCCCTTCACGTATTTATCCCAGGCCCTCATCATGTCTCTTCTCAGCCTTCTCTTCTTCAGGCTAAACATGCCCAGCTCTTTAAGCCGCTCCTCATAGGGCTTGTTCTCCAGACTCTTGATCATTTGAGTCGCCCTCTTCCTCTGGACACATTCCAGCTTGTCAATATCTCTCTTGAATTGTGGTGCCCAGAATTGGACACAGTATTCTAGGTGTGGTCTAACCAAGGCCGAATAGAGGGGGAGCATGACTTCCCTATATCTAGACACTATGCTCCTATTGATGCAGGCCAAAATCCCATTGCCTTTTTTTTGCCACCACATCACATTGTTGCCTCATGTTTAACTTGTTGTCCACTTCTGTACCAACTCTGGCATTGGAGACATTTTGCCCCAAAGTACCAGTTCTGGGATCCATGGCATCAGGCTGCCATTTGCCTCTGTGCCCTGACTCTTGTGGGCTTCCCCATACAGGATGTCAGATTGGGGGAAGTCTTGCTCTGTTCCATGAGACACCTCTTTGGGAGCACATGAGAGCACACACTCTGACTGGACTCCAGGTGATCTTGCAAAAGGAGTGTCACACCCCTTATACTGACTTTGTCCATTTTAGCTCCTTCATTGGGCAGAAGGATCATCTGAATTTTTCGTGTTTTGCATATCCCGAAAAGGGCTTTCCTGGCCAGGTCTCCCCTCTTAACGTGAGCCGCCGATAGCAGCTCTGAGCTGCATTAGTCAGCAGCCATCCGCCAGGCCAGCAGTATATT